CAGATTAAATATACATATACATACTGTATACAGTACAGTATACATGTTCCTAAATCAATATCTTCTATGAGCATGTGAAAGGCATGGTGAATGTGGACCAGGGCAATACTTTGAGTTTACAGCTTGTCCAAGGTCATTCATTATACTCTAAATACTTTTAGTATTATCTTCGGTAAAGACTTTGATGGCGACAGCTCAAACATGAGAGGTTGAGCTTTATTAGCTTAATTTCAGGATACTATTATTTTATTTGCGGTATCATGCGGCGCTATGCGAGAATATACGGTATTAATACCTAACTTGCGGTATACTGCGTCAAGCACACCGGAAAATAATGCGGTATCGTCCGCTTGTTTTGAATGGCTGCATCTGTATGTCACAAGAATGCAGAGTATTTTAGTGAAAATGAGATGGTTCATACTGAAGTGCATATTGTATTGCAGGGATACAGCTTCTTGTGCTAATTTCTGACATATTTCTGACATACAGTATGTTTCCAAATGCTATTCAGAAAGTCCTTTAAAATTAGTAGACAAACACTGAATAAAACTGTCCAGCACTGCAGTCTTTATTTTGTTTTAATCTGCTTTTGTTGAGAAAGACAATTCTTTGATACAATTGTAGGAAAGATGCTCCCCACAGATTTAAGGTATGTATAGACACAAAATGGCAAAAAGAAGTAAATCTGTTATAAGTCAAAAGAAATTACAAGAAATATAATCATTTAACATACCTGTGTTTTCAGATTGGCATGCTTCATTCTAGATAAATTGTTCTAGATTCACATATTCATTCTAGATAATTTATACATCCATTTATAATAATAAACTAATGTTCAATATTTAACATTAATAACTTACATTTATTTGTATATTGTGACCTGTTGTAATACAATTTCATGTGACTATGTCTATATATGGTACACATGCTTAGAAACAAACACAGAAACATTCATTTTATTAATGAATCAAGGAGGTGTACCATGTTTATTTAAAATCATAAATTGCATGAAATATAAATATCAGTACTAAAAATGAATTAGAATAAATTTCATTGTAATGTTTCTCAAAAAGCTGCCGATATCTTGTTTCTATTGTAAAGCCTTTTAACTGTTTCCAAAATCTCCTCGGTTTTTAATGTGTAAATGATGGGGTTCAGCATTGGTGGAATAGTAGAAGATAAGGATGTATTTAATATTCTGGCATCTGGATGAATGGTAGATAGTATCGCAGCAAGGTAGGTTCCACATATGGGAAGATAAAACACTGCCACTAAGATTAGATGGGAGGTGCAAGTTTTCATTGCTCTTAAACGCTCTTCTCCTGATGCAATTTTCAACAACGCAAACACAATACACATATAGGATAGTGCAATCAGAATTAATGGTATAAAGAGGACAATTGAAATACAAAACTGTGCATAAATATGATTTGGAGAATTGCTGTTACAAGCTAATTGACACACAGGCCCATGATCACAAAAATAGCTGTTTATGACAATAGATTTACAGAATGACAGTCTTGTAACTAAACCTACAGCTATTAGCATAAGGCCAGCTGTCATAATCCATATTATTGCCAAAATCAAAACCATCTTTCCATTAGTGATAACACTGTGATAATTTAACGGAAAGCATATAGCAACAAATCTATCGTAGGCAAGTGCAAGAAGAGTTAGTGACTGCATGAAAGTAAACAAATGCACAAAAAACATATTGACCAAGCAAGCTTCATATGTTATGAACTGAGAATCAAATAAGAAAGTCTCAATCATTTTAGGAATAAGAGCTGTGCTGCCACCCATATCAACTACAGCTAAATTAAAAACAGCCGAATATTTAGGGGTGTGAAGGTTTTGGTTCATAAATATAATGAACATGATGAAAGAGTTTGCTATTACAGTTACTGTATAAACAAAACACAAGAAAATGAAGTAGAACTTAACATGTGGAATGTTAGAAAAGCCATTGATGTAAAAGAACTGAGGTCGAACAAACGTGGAATTTGTTGAAACAGTTGAATTCAGGGAGCTCATGACAAACTTCTTTCTTGATGAGACTTTTTTCTAACCTGAAAATACAAATCTCATTATCCTTTTCAAATATTCAAATATTTCAAGTATTTTTTTTATTTATCCATTTAGGCCAGGATTATGGTGGCCCCAAAGTGCAGTTCACACAAGTAAAAGGGAGTTGGCACTTTAAAATGAAACTCTAGAAAAGGGAGTGCACACTAGAAAAAGACCAGTAATTACAGAATTGCATGATCATTCTTCCCTCATCTTTGTCTAAGTGGATGGTGTTTAAAAACTTTTGCCACAGGAACTGCAGAAACAAAACAAACTTGCCAAACATCCTCCACAAACTGGGCAATACATGGTTACCTATCATTACGAACAGTACTGTTATTTGGTTATGCAAATGATGATTATATATATGGAGCTAGACATTCAGTTCACTTTCATGTGTGTAATAACACCAATGCAATATAACGTGATACCGCAGCTGTGAATTATATTTCAATGACTGGTTTAGCTAGCTATAAACATCATCCATTTAAGTATAGCTGAGTTAAAAAGGCTTTTGAATCAAACCCACTGAGTGAATTTATCCAGTTCACCACTGAAATTTTCATGAAAAGCAAGGGTGGTCCTGTCAACCACTAACTAGCTAGCAGTACATGCCTGAAGATTGTTTATACTAACTAGCTACAGTACCTAACAGAAGAATGTTTGGAATTTCAATTCCCAAATTTCTAAACACTTAAACATTCATACAGTCCTTACATTCAACACAATAGTGTCAGATTTGCATAGGAAATGAAAAGGAGAAATTATTTAAAGTTAGCTAAGTAAAAACTCTCAAAGGAACATGAAAAATATATAGTATGACACCTTTCACCAGCTGTCACTCTCCTAAAGTAAATTATTGAGGATGACAGACATAATTGCAACCTAAAAGTAGAGGGCAGAATGATAATATATTTCTGTAATACACCTCTTTATAGAATGTGCTCTTTTTCTATATTGTGCACTCCTTTTAATAGTGTGCGCTCTTTTTTCTAGTGTTTGCTACTTTTTCTAGTGTGCACTCCTTTTTAGTGTGCTTTCCCTTTTTCTAGTATACGCTGCACTTCAGAGACGCCTTTTAGAATGTCTACGATTGTCACCTTTGCATGCCTCTCATGAAATTGTAACCCAATGGCAAGTTAAATCATATGAAATACAAGTTATATCATAACAGAGCACATCCAAAGCATAATCGGCCTTAACTGTCATTTAATAAAATAAAAGTCATTGGACCTAGAAAATCAATACACTAAATACATACTGTATATAACAGATATTATTGCTAAAGCACTGGTACTGTATACCGCAATAGACTATGTTCCAAGTCTGTACTGTATACGATGATTTATGTTATCTGTGTTGTGGAGCAGCGAAATAAAGTTATGGACTGACTTCCTGCTGTGCAGTATATAAAATTAATTTATCAACACTTTGTGCATAGGATTAGCATGTACAATCTGTTGCACTCTTTATAGGCAATATTCCAATAAAGTTAGGATAGCAAAATGGTAAATTTGTGGTTCATTGCTTGCAAGTCAAAGGCTAACAGGTAGAGCTTTCATGGCTAGTATTGACAAAAAGTTAAAATATTTGTATTATGTAAGACTGCTATTCCTTGCACTGTGAAATGAGTGTTTGATAATGATTTATTTGTGACATATTTGATTTTGTTTATAAACCTTGTTAAAAATAATATAGATTTTTAATTTAGTTCAAATACAGGAAAATATTAACATATCTATATATGCATCAAAAGTATTAATGTAATACTCACCCAATTTATTTTTATTTTCCAATATAGCATGTGTCTATGAAAAAAAGTGTGAAATCATGTTGTATTTAACACCTTAACTGATGCCTCAGAAATCAAATTTCTGACAATGGTACCACTTGTATGACTTTTATAAGCATGTTGTTGTGCAGGTCAATTAACATGGGGATGCACACTAGAACTGCCCCTGCAGTGATGTTAACAGTATTCCACAGAGGTAAGGCTGATTTACTTACGGGATGCTTTGGATATATTTGCAAGAAAATTAGTGAAAGTATGTTGAATGTCAAACCCAGAATTAAAAGTCATCTGAAGAATGAATTCAAAAGCATGGCTTTACTATACAGTTTTTTGAGGGAGAATACTATAAGGAGAAATGCTGGCAAATATTTCGTAGTTTAACCTTTGTAACAGACCTAGTGTCAGGCCTACAGATTACTGTACATAGCTGTTAACAAGTTTAATGACTTCTCCAAAGGAATTTAAATGCTTTAGAAATCTCAAAGAAATTCTAAAATCCACAGGCCTAATGGTGTGTGAATTAAAACATATATACCCAGTATTTCTGTACTTTTCTATTTTTATTACGAAGTACAAATTGAATAAGTGATGTAGAGAAAAGTGGTTCAGGGACACATCAAGAGGACATACGTTCAGTATATCATTCATTAAGACCGTTTCGTAAAGTGAACTTGGTTACAACTTCTACATTAGATACTCAAAACAAGTACATAACTCTTAGGAATTAAATTGATGTCAACTGGTTTGGATAACAATTGAATTCTCGAGCTGTAATGCATTGAAGTTGAATACTCATCCAATTTTTGGGGATTCAGATCTCCTGCGGGCACAAAGAAACAGTTGCAGGCTGTTGCTGTCCAATCCGCGCTCTCTGGCTCGGTGCCAGGCTGTGCTGTGCGGCTTGCGACGGTGCGCTGCTGATGCTCACTGTTGGCTTTAACTAGCAAAGTTTGTGCACAGGAGAAAAGATGACTGTGGGTCCCAGCAAGTCAGGAAGAGGACCGGTTCGTCCCTGATGAAGAGCTAGTTCTGAATAGTAATTCAGCTGTCCACAGTTCCGACCTGTTCACGAGGCCTGCTGCTGGTTACTCTCTGGCAACCTCCACTCTAGACTCTTAGAACAAAGGAAAGTTCTGGCACTCGGACACACTGGCCGTTCCGTGGTTGTCCGGGCTGAGTCTCAGGATGGTCAGGAGGCGCGCTGCGAGGATGTCCTGCCCTTGGGAGCCTTCTGCTCCTGGAATTCTCCTTTGAATTCCCTTTAGAATTGTTGGATCTGAATCTGAATCTCAAACTCTCTGAATCTCTCAGGCTCTCTGTGTTGCCTGTTTTTACCTGGAGGAACTTCAGCTCATTGATTGGCTGAAAGTTCCATGGGCATCAGAGTCCCACGTGGGTTACTCGGCCCTACCAGTCCCTGATTGGTTGATCAAGGTGAGATATGAGTCACTTAGTCCTGACACTTAGTAATGCAGTCCAGATGTCCAACTGGCACTCCCTAGACAGATAGGCGCCAATGGGTGACCATTGATCATGATAGCCAGGCTTAGCTAAGTGCATCCCCCTTTGGGAGCTGTCCTTGGACCTTAAATCACCTTGCATGAATGGTTTCTCTGTGGCTGCACCACAGAGATGAACAGAGAAATGAGGACTAACCTAACTAACCCAAATAAAAATAAAGTAAAATAGGGCGTCTTCATGGGCCCTAACTTCCCCACAGTGAACTAACCAGAACCAAAATACATCAGTGGCACATGCCCCTAACCTAGTGTGTCTAGATAGAAAACAAACCTACATGTGCACAATGTAACCCGACGACCTTACCTTTACCTTTTCCCCTGGTGTACAGCAAGTTCACAGTTATCAATAACACGACACGAGTGAACCAATTGCACGATTATGGAAAAATAGATAATACTGAAGAAAATACACGAGCAAGGATTAGGGTAACAAAATGAGCACAAGCAAGGTAAAAAGGAAAGTTACAAGGGCGGGCAAAATAATAACAAAACACAGGTAATCAAAACAAACAAACGAACGAAGCCGAACCTAACAACGAACAAACACGAACACTACCGAGCAAATGCGAACACGAGCGAAAAAGCTAACCAAAGATGAGCTGAAAGCTGACCAAAGTTGTACGGAAAAGATAATGGAGTCTAACCTTTTCTGGTATTTAAACTGTAGATCTTGGGTTCTGATTGGCTGGGAGTAGAGATCATAATGACATCACAGCTGCAGCAATGGTGTAATGATGGACCAATTGGGGGGGGTACCTGAATACAGGAAGCAGGAAAAAAAAACGATACATACAGACACACACAGGGATGTAACACTACGATACTAGACTTTAATAGAAAATTTATTGGTAACACACTTGTCCAGAAATACATATCAATCAGTTGCAAAATGATTGATTTACAAAGAACTGCAAAGATTGAGCTACCATAGCTATTTTCCCCAGTGTCTGCACAGACCATCAATGGCTACACCAAAAGGATGCTGTGCTCCACTGTGTGCTGTAGTAAACAAATCACTTTTTCTTCATCATAGCAACTTCTGGGTTGGTATAAGGATCATTTGCAAATCACTAAAAGTCAATTTTAAGAGGAATGGCTGACTGAGTTTAAAGTAATTGGCAGAAGGTTTTTTGGCAAAACAAAAAAAGATTTGAAGCAAGGAATGAGTAGAAAGCTCAGGAAATGATGCTTGAGAAGGTGATGCAGCGTAAAGAAGATACTGGAATGTAAAGTCTTAAAGAGAAGAACTCGTGTTAGAGGTCCTCAGTTTCGGAAAAGTGTGATTGCATAAAATGGGATGGGTAGCAGGGAACCCAAGCTGTTGTTTAAAGAATAGTTTAAAGACAGAAGACCAGGTGAAACATCTGGGTAGTTTCACTATATACTGAAATTGAAAGGTATTTTTTAATGTGTCCTATGGCTATACTGTATGTCTGGGAAGGAGGTCCAGTGTTGCACAGAGGAGTGAACATTGCAAAGGAGGGTCCCAGATTTGGCACAGACTGAGCTGTAGCCCAA